TTATTAAAGTATTCCATTCCTGATAACTTACCGATGATCACAGGATCACTGCCCTAAAGTAGAACCCATTTATGTTCTTATTATATTCTGCAGTGTGTATCTACGAGTCGATCATAGTGTCACTTTGATCTCTTTACAGCTGTCCTCTGGATCCCACGGTGCGATTTCACCATAATGATGACAACAAAGGCCTTCAGCGGTTTAGTGTTGAAACATTCCAGTTTGTCAACTCACCGGATCCGTTTGTGTACATCTACTACAAGGTAACCGACATAAAATAAAGGTGCAACTACCCTCGAAAAAATCTCCTTAACATGTTCTCTGCAGGTGAAGTTAACGAAAGATTGGCCTCAAGCGATAGATTACTGGCAATCATGACCTTTGATATTAAAATGGAAGTTAAATTTGGGTTGTGAATTAATACAAGAGTGAATACACTTTGTTATCATTTTTCTTTTTTTTTTTTCATTCTTTACTGACATTTCAATTTTTATTTATAAATTCTGGGGACATGCAACTTGTTTGAATGGTCAGAATATTATTTCAGAAAATTGAATGCAACTTTAAGTTGGCTTTATGTTTCTATTAATTCCTATATACTGCATGTGACTTGTTTCGAGCATGAAGAATAGATGGAGTGGATGGCTGTAAGAAGGGGGGAGGTCTGAGGTTGGAGGCCACTATGAGGACTTACTTGTGAAATTGCTTTTTCAGTCGGTCAATGAAATTTTCTATATGGAATCTGCAGAAACATATGGCTGAAACAATGATCTTAACGCCCCATACCAACGTTTCTTGGAGTAAAGGTAAGCATGAATCACAGTGGAACCAAACCCGTTCTCGATTTTTTTTTTCCAAACCGTGGTTTGCTACCCCTCGCATCTAAACTCAGAATGCTCCAAAAACTGCGATGTGCCTCCCGGGAACCGTCGTCGCAGAGCCCTGCCATATAGTGTAACTGTGTATGCTAGTTTATTCAGTCACGGCCCTGTCTGGTTATAATAACGAACCTTGAGAAAGTTAAAGGTATAGAATAAACGATTATACTTTCATATTTATAAACAATTCTCTTCATTTATTATTGTATAGAGGGATCACGGAGTGATACAAAAAAGGAAAGCTGGGTAATTTCATTCTTTTCTTATCGTTTTTCACTCTTTAAGATGGAAAAAAGCTGTTGTAAAATGTTTGATAAAAGAGTGTATAACAAGTTTTAGTAGTAGTTATTTTTCTGTTTCTCTTTTTTCCCTGTTAATTTTATCATTTGTCTGCTTGTTTGACTGTGGAAACACTTTACGCGCAAAGAACAGGGCCAAAGTGTCAAGCAATCAGAACAAAAGAGAAATATTACAAGGACCCAATGAAAACTCAAATATTCGAAACCAGCCCCGAGCGAGTTAGAATGGTACAACCCTTTACTGTTTTGAATCTAATTGGTCAGGAAGGTAACTTTAGTGCCGCTCACGAAATGGACAAAAGCATGAATCATTGACCCTCAATTCCTTGATTTTTATGTCCAATTAAATAATGGATTTTATATCCTCCAGCTTCACATTCTCCAGGGCAGGACCCCTTGATTGATGTAACTGTTACTTTTGGAGTGTTTGCCCTCCTTTGCCTTGTGGTGATTGCAGTTGTCGGTCATAAAAGGATCACTGTCATATTGTAGAAAACAAGAGAGAATCGTTATATTAAATTTAAAAAATCTTTCGTCTCAGAAAAGGTACTAACAGCAACTACTGATTACTCTGAGGCAAGGGGTTTCTGTATTTCGAGGTTGAAAAATAATTCCTAGCGATCGAATTAAAGCGAAGTTCAATAGCAGTTAGAGTCATTTTCGGAAACTGTCAATTAGGAAACCTGAACTGAAAACACTTTGGAAGCTAGAGAGATTTCAAATATCCTGGCTGTAGTGACTGACTACTGTTACGCTAATGTAACATTATGGACACTTTTATTTTCTTGTCAGCCGATTTTATGTCTATTCCTTTTGCTATAACGGAAGGGGACATGAGGGGTTTTGAATAGCGCATCACCACAGACAATATTGATCAAACACCGCATCACCGCAAGAAATATTATCGACACACCGACACCGCGAAATAGTCTAAGTGCCAGGATTTACCTGGTCTGCTTTCACTCATCTTTACTGCACGCTGATCTTTGGCTGGCCGACNGTGTTTCTCACGGCTGTGTTTGTTTATTCACCGCTATGGTTCAGGTAGCTTTACACCATCACAACAAGAACCGATGAAATTATTTCTTTGGTTCTAATGAAAACAGTTCATTAATTCAGAGTTTCTAGGATAATCTGATCAAATCTACTTAACTCTTCTACAAAGGAAAGTATTTTTTGTTTTGTTTTTAATTTAAATCACACTGCACAGACACTGAAGAAGCCAAAAGGTAGTAAAATGAGTTTGAATGACTTGAATGTATCGTCACAGAAACATGGAGAAAAATCATATCTTGGATCGTTAGGCACAAAATGATCTGTTTTAAAAGGCATTTTCATTCTTTTTTTTATTTTTTTTCCATTTTTTATTCTTTTATATATGATCGATGCACTTAACAATACTGCCTTAATTATTTTGGTGAGCAAACCTTGATGAAATTTCCCACCAAACAAAAACACTGACAAACTCAAGATGCATGGCATCTCACGGTCTCAGAGGTGCATGACAGAAATCAAACCATTTTCCGGCAAAAAAAAACTTAAGGGTGTGATTAGTATAATGGAGACTTTAAAGAAAAATCTTTTCATTGAAGAAAGAGAGATTAGTAAGATGAGGCAGCAAATTATGCCTCATAAAATCAAAGATATAACTTTATTACAATTCTTGCCAATACATGATGGAAGACAATAAATGTTACAATTGGTGGCATCTTGCAGGCATGCGACAGAACAGAACTTTTCCTTGCCAAAACTGCTGAGAGCTGGGATGAGTGCAACATGGAAACTTTAAGCCAGCAGTTCTAAAAAGCAGTTAATTTGCAAAGTAGTTTCTTATAGAAATAGTTTACAAAAGTGAAAAGTAAGAGTTTAAAAGCAGTCAAATGCTCCGCAATGGTAGTTAGAAAAATGAAAATAAATTTATTTTGATATACCACAGCACTCATGAACACCATTCCTGATATTTGAGCTGGTGAGGTAGTGGTAGAAAAACACTGAAGTGGAAAGTTTTTTTAAAAAAAACACAGTTTTACAAATTAAGGAAACTATAATTTATCATTTTCTTCAGTGAAAAAAGAATTAAGATATTACGTGTTAATATCTTATATTGCATGCTCGTGTTCAAAGTCCTAAACTTGATCTAAATTACTTGTATTTTGATCTCATGTTCATTTGTACTGTTCTATTGGTTCTTGTAAAGATGACAGTTGTTTTTATTGCTAGACCTGGTTATAGAAGTATGGAGTTGAAAAGAGGAGTCAGGTTTGTAATTACCACGTAATGCTTGGGTTTCTAAGTTGTAATTTTCTAATTCCTAAAGCATTCCACTTTATTTTGATCCTGATCATCTTCTGTCTTTGTCAAGGTGTGGTAGTGTAACTGTTGACCTAGCACTTATATTCAATTCCACAACAAGAGAGGGAGATGTTATTACATTTCTTTGGAGTGCTGCCAAAGGTGGGAAGCTTGGACAGTTCAATGTAAGTGCTATAAAAAGGACGAGATCTCTGGTTGATTTCGAAATTGGAACAACTGCAGCGGGCATGCAGTTGTCACCTGGCAGTTCAACTGATTGTAAGTTCTCTAATTTTTGCTATCTTTTTACATGAACTCTTTAATTTATACCAAATTTTTTTGGTATATATCAATTCACTAGAGGTAAGATTTCAGAAAAATCTCAATCCTCGATATGCTCTTCAATGGAAAGTAAAGCACAGTTGGAATGGGATTTAATTACAATTGACAGAAACAAAAGCTCAGTATATATTGAACGTTTATTTTTAGCAATGATGTGAAATATCCTTGTTGTGTATTGTATCCATGTTCATGTAATTGGTTTTAATGTATAAACAAATCTTTGAAAATCTGTTTGAATGAACTTTTACATTATACTTTGTGATTCAGTATACCGTCAGTACTACTGAGAGCTGATTAAAGGCTGCAGGGTAGACAGGGATGAGCA